GAAATTTGCCCGACGAGTTCCTATAATTTGCCCGACCAGACCAACTTGAGATTGGAGGGGTTTCCCCAGGAGTTTCGGCCTTGACAGCGGAGTCACCATGGACACTTTAAACTGTCTGTAATTTGGTTGCAAATGACATCGCCTTATATCTTTACAGTAAGAGTCTAAGACTAAGGAATACAATTTTTACTGGAAGCAATTGTTGCTTAGAATACCAAGAAGTGGAGAATACCAAGAGCCAAGAAGTGTAAAACCGAAAAACCGTCATATAGTATTAATATATAACTGCAACGTCTATGACCGTGTTTTAAACAAGCGAGTCGTCAGAAGCAGTGGTACATGGGATTATGGAGAACTGTGGCGTATATTGATAGTACATTTCAGATATAAGCGCCCTGGTACATTTATATTATACTCAGCAATTTTCAAACTGCTGTTCAAGCAATCAAGTGAACAGTTTAGGCAGTTCGGGTCATCACATTAATCACAACTGCGTTTTCTGTCATGGATGCTCTGGATGGATGGACATAACCAAGAGCCTGGGCTTCCTGTGGTCTGTGCCGTGTGGTGTTTATTGCGTCCCGTTGTCAAGCCGACCAGGAAATGAGCAGTCGAGGATTCGAATTCGAATAAGAACGCGTCTGGGCAAAATAAATACGCAACGAAATTTCTTTTTCTATTCTGTGCCGCTACGAAATTACGTGAAAATATTTATGTTGTATGTTGCTTAACATATATCCAGTATAAGACATTTTTGAAAGATGATTTCCATTCCAACATCTAAGGTATGTTCTTTTATTTAAACAAACACTTTGTCATTCACTTTATCATTCAGTTAATAACCGTCACATATGTGATATGAACAATTCATACCGCTTCTGTACGAAGGTAGTTTTTCCCAAATATTTCACATTCCGTATTGTTGTATGGTTTTATAAAATATTTAACACTGTTAATTAAATTATGAAAATTATGAAATACCAAAAAGTAAATAAAAAGTATAAATTATTATACAGCCGCAGAGAAGGAGATATATATCGAAAGTCTGAAATGCTGTTGATCACTAGTTTAATATAGAATTTATATTCTTGGCTGTTTAAACAGTGCCTTTACATACAATTTAATATGTAACAAGTCATGAGTTGTTTACGACTCGAGTTGTATACTAAGTAAAGAGTAAATACATGCAGCCACAGAGAAGGAGATATCGAAAGTCTGAAGTGCTTTTGATCAGGATCACTAGTTTAATATAGAATTTATATTCTTGGCTGTTTAAACAGTGCCTTTACATACAATTTAATATGGTAAGTATGTTCCAGTGTTGTTAACGAGTCATGATTTGTTTCACTATCTGATCAAGTTGAGTCGATGACTCCACTCAAGTTGAGTAAATGGTTCCTGAGTCGTGCCAAGTCAATAGCTGCATGAAATCATGGATAATAAAATAAATGGATATGAAACTAGCTGACGTGACCTAATGTTTTTACTGGGATTGATGGCGTGGCTGGGTGCCTCAACCTAGTTGAAAACCAAATTCTCAAAAACGGCATGTTTAGCAATAATACAGCTAAACATTTTAGTCAAAGAGCAAATAAATGTAACCGCGCCATTCTACGATGAAAACTCTAAGTATTCCCAGTCAATTTTAGCAAATATTTCAAGCACTAAACAGTGAAAAATACATCGCAAATTTCGCAAAAATTTGTGACGCCAATTTCGTAGCTACAAATGTAAAAAAATACAAAACAAAGACGAAAAACATTTACCTTGAATACTTTGTCGTGGCTTAGGCATGTTTTTAAAACAATTAGACCAGTTTACGCTTCAGGATCACCCTTTTAAAGTGGAAAATATAGCAAAACAACAAAAATGCCGAGAACTTTGGTAACATTCGCAATACGCGTGACGTCACGTTTTTCAACAAGGATGCAGTCAATGACGTCAGAAGTTTCCAATCCATTTATTTTATTATCCATGATGAAATCAAGGGCGGCGAGAGGCAACCACGGGCCCCATGATAAATTGGTGAACACGCCCCCCTACCCCCATCCCTCTTGATTCTCACGTTGATGGCCACACCAAAGTCTAATTTTTAATCGCAATCAACAAGGGAATTGCCAGCAAATTACTTGCAAGAAATCACTGGAGAATTTCGATGGCGCATGTGGCATGCATGAATGTTACCGTACGTACCAATAGATGGATGTAATAAATTTGTTCAATACAAGTAAATACCTCATTTCATCTCATAACTGATAAAGACGTGATGTAAACAATGTTTGCCTAACTGTTTTTGCAGCAAAATAGTTTATTTCACATTTGGTACGTTTTACGATCGATCACGACGATCAGTGGATAGTTTGCAAGTAGGCATATATCATTTAGGACAAACATATAGCGATGATAAACAATAAAAACATTTTACCAAGATTTCCAGGGCCCCTCTGAGCAGTCTGGGCCCCGGGTATTTTGCCCCCTTCCTCTCGCCGGCCTTGGCTGAAATTGAGTTGAGTAAGTGGATTTGATGAAATCCACTCCACACTTTCCATAATGGTTCGATGCCTGGGTTGGCAGTCTGTGGAATTAATAATCAAATTCATGTTTAAGATATTAATTATTGTACTTGTTGAACTTAAACAAAGTTTAACTAAAACAAAATTGGGTGGGGAAATTAAGGTGAAGAGGTAACAAGTGCAACTTGCTGCAACAAGGCAAGGCAGTTAAGCAGGCAATTGATCTGATCAGGGTGCCACAAACGGTTATAAGGTGCACCACAAACCTCTTAACAGCTGTGATGCATGGTCTTGGTCACATGAATGAAAATGGTTTTGTTTGCGGATCTGTGTGCATTGAATCAACTAGTCATCGGAGGAAGTGTTTTCCCACATAAAGATATATTATTCACTACCTGGGTATCTGGCTACCTGGGTATCACCAGATCATATAACAGCTATATAACCAAATAAATTAGATAGATCATGATTTCTGTATTTGCAAGAAATTTAGAAGAACATTACAATATGTTAGGGTGAAGAGGGGAGCTGACAAATTTGCTTCAGATCAACATCTTGTCTTAGCAACCCTGAGAATGTGCGTTACACATCATGCAATACCAGCTGGATCAAGGATGTGAGTATGCAAGCATGAGGGAACAGTTTCAGATAAAGGTGTCAAACAGATATCAGACTTTACAAGAACTTTACGAGGTGGAGGAAATGATGCATACCAAGACTGAGTTGAGTATAGACTGAGCTTAAAGAAGGTTTGGTTGGATGCCTGTGAAGAAACCATTATTTGGTAAAAGGAAATCAACCCACAAGGACTGGATGTCACTGGATATTTTGGAGAAAATAGAGGAGCAAAAGAAGCCTAAACAGTAAAGCATGCAGGGTAAGACATAATTTTGGTGAACTGTGGAATCGTCCAGTGCCACAGAATCAAGACCTTTCACCATCCGACTCAAACCTCCCTCTGAATTGGGACAAACCTGACAAGTCTGAAATACAAAGGGATGTATACACTGTCAGGCTTTCAAGAATGGAAACTAGGCAGCAGAACCTGGTAGTGTACCTGCAGTGGCCCAGTGGCGAAGCTAGCCATAGCAACAGGTCATGCAATGCAGATTTTTAATGATTTGCATTATTCAAATCTTTAGAAATGTGTTACTTTTAACCTATTTAGAACCGTTTGGAGAAAGACTGGAATTCAGCAAGGGTGCCTGCTATCACGTTTTCTTTCTCTATTGGCCATAGACTGGATCATGAGATTGAGAGTCGTAACTGAAGACTGTAACAACGGGATACAATTGCCATCATCCAGGAAGCTGGTCATCCTGGATTATGCAGGCGATCTAGAGAGCCCTGCTATCACAATTTATTTGAGGAGAAACCATCAAAGCTGGCAGAAACCTCGGCAGGGATCGGTCTGAAGATCAACAAGGGTAAGACGAAGGTGTTTAGGATGTTAAGCAAGGTACCTATCACAGTTAAGGAGAGCCCCTTAAGTATGTGGACTCGTTTACTTATCTTGGGAGTGTAGTGGGGCCTCTTGGAGGTACGGATAAAGATGTCGTGAATATAGGATAGGGAAAACCAAGTATGCGTTTCTTCTGTTAGCATCTGGTCATTAAGGGGCTTACACCAAGAACCAAACTCCGAATATTCGCGTCCAATGTGAAGTCGATGTTGCTATAGGGCACAGAGACGTGGAGGACAACCAAGAAGACGCAGAACAAAATACACACTTTCAGAGGTCGACCGCGAAACAGCTGGAGGAGAGACACTGGGGACGAAAGGCGCAGAATTGTGTGCCCTGGGGAGGAATCTTTGATGACCTATGATCCGCAGGGGAAGAGAACTATGATCCGCAGGGGGAGAAGGGCTTAACTAAACTATGATCAAACTGTGTAATGGTTGAACAAGCCTCATGACTGAGTACTACAGCACTTTAAATGCACACTGGTGGAACTATGGGGGGAGTTGTCCCATCTGCTCTTTATTTACTGAGGCCCAGAGTTTCTGCTTGGGTAAATTTAAGCACTCAGGTGACATATACAGATATACAGATATTTCACAGCACACTCCCTATCAGGGCTTTTCAGTTACTGGTTACATTATGAATATAGATAGATAGAACCGGACATTGCATTAAAATGGTGATTTGTCATACAATCAGTCACGTACCACTGAAAATTTCACAAGTGGTCAACCGCATAATGCAGCCGGGTGATTAAAATTTATTTAATGAGAATGTTTAGTGTCACCTTGTTTTGACTTTTCTCGGCAAGGCAACAGGGTTCAAATAATGATTGAGATTTATTAGATAAGCTGTATACGTCAAATCTAATTTTTCGTATTATGTTGGTTTAACTTAGTTGTAGTTATTTTCCAGGATGACACACGTAAGCTTTTCCCATGGTATAATTACACATAGTAGCTCATAGTTAATTATTAAGCTTAATTATTGATGCTCCATTTTCTCTATTTAGGTTTCTGGACGGAGCGACTAACATCTTGAAGGTGTTATTTTGTGTAGTTGGATAGCAAGAAACCTTAGAATTTGAGACTTGTCATAAATTTATTACAAGCACCCTCCTGTGCAGAAAACATGTCACACTATGAAATATTTTATTAACTATAAAGATGAATTTTCCACCAGAATTTTACTTGCATTGGTCATCTTTCTTGTTATCCGTACTAAAACTTTATCATCAGCCGACTATGTGTCTGTGGGTAGTTCCCAGTACCCACATGTAGCGCCATCACCATCTGTAATTAGTCATGGAAGAAGTGGTGGTGACGTGCAAGAGAAAGAATGTTGTGTTGCAAGGTTGTGTGAATACAAAATCCTTGAGAACTTTTCTTGTAAAGTTTCCGAATATGTGGTAAGTTTGAATGTGGTAAGTGCTCAATAACAAATGCGGCAGACAGTCAGTCGGTCACGGAAGTGAACCAGCCAGGATTTGTTTCCAAATAGAAATTTATTTTACGTATAGATCCTATATGAATTCCTAGTGGACAAAAATTGTGATACAAAATTATAGGAAATTTATTTCTGTTACATTTTGGGTCTAAGGCCCGGTTTAGACGGCGAACTTTTCATGCGCCGAATCTAATGCAAGGATTAAGTGCGACATTGGAGCGGCGTCTAAATCAATTAAGTTCGGCAGGTTTTGATTAAGTTCGACACGACTCGAAGATGCGACAGGACAAGTCGTATATGCGACACAGGTTCGACATTGATTTAGACGCCGTGCTTTTCATGCGCCGAACCTAATGCATAATTATTTTTTAACATCATAATATGATTATCATATATTTGCATTGTAAATATTTCCAATATAATGTCTTCGCAATTTGGTACGGTGCAATTAAGTTCGACGTCTAAATCAGTTTCCGATATTTTGCCGTATCTACGACAATTAGATTCGGCGCATGAGAAGTTCGCCGTCTAAACCGGGCCTAAGGCATACTCTTAGATGTGTATTATTTGATTTTGTTCTCAAATTTGTCGAGGATATGTGTTTGCCGTCACTAAATAACAAAATTTCACAAAAAGATCAGTGCCTGGGAGGTATAGACCTGCTTTTGAAGTTTCTATCTTTTTGAAGTTTCTACGTTTTTCTATCCATCGAAGTTATATCTTTTCTACACAGGACATCACCTTAATTAATGACATAATCATTATCTTGTCCCTTTAGATATCTAATGGACTTGAGCGTTCGTTTCCGAAATGGCTTTGGTTTGACGAAGGAAATCAAACATTAAAAGGCATACCTTCACCAGCTGACGAAGGGCTTAATGAATTATTAATTATTGGACTGAGGCGACGTCAAAACAACCCCGTAGGCTATATTTGTGGCTTACTAACAGTCAAAATTGTTGTGTGGAGTTTGAAAGACTTTCCACTCTCTGCTCAGAACTTTCCTACAAGTCCCGTAATTAATAACAGATTTTCCAAACCTTCCACTTGGCAAGGTTTCACTTGTCAATTCAATGAACCAATCGTCTTAGCGTCTTTGGTCTTGGCGGGAAATTTTCATGAAATGGATGGAAAACAAAAGATAAATGTACTTGATTGGCTACTTCAAAGTTATCACATTTCTATATACGATGTGTTTGTGTTGTCAAGTAGTGAAGATTCATTGAAAGGTTTGCTTCAATCTTCACATGTGTTAGCTTCTGGACCTGGTGCTAACAGATCTGCCTCCGGGCTCAGTACTACTATCACTTGGCATGTTAAGTGTGGTGTCATGCATCTCGATGATTCTTTGTTTCAAGTCATGGAGAAACTCTCCAAGCAGTTAACATTCATTAACAATGTCAGTTACGCTCCTATAGGCTGGCATGTTGTTACTAGCTTTCAGAAACACCATATAAGAAGGCGAAGGAATGTTGTTGGAACTACTACTCCAGCATATAGTACGATTCCTATCTCTCGGGCGACAGTTGTTACAACAAAAATTAAGGTTACAAGGACAACGTATGTCAGCCAGACAAAAACGTTTACTTGGTCTCGGCCACTACCAACATTTTCTTCACCATATACTGTCAACAAAACATCGTTGTATAACCAGTCGTCAGCAGTTAGTTCTCGGTTTAACAACACGATAATTCCGTCACAGTACAATAGCGTCAGTTCAACTTCACCAGTGATGTCTTTATCGAGTCCCCTGTCACCACCATCTCAGATCATATCATCTTCTAAACATGAAACACCAGATAATTCACAATATAAAAGCGTTAGTCCAACTCTGCCAGTGATATCGTCACCAGGGACTATGTCTTCACTATCTCATGTATCCTCACCAAGACAAACATCAGAAATTTCACAGTACGAAAAAGTCAGTTCAACTTTCCCAGTGACGTCTCCATCAGGAAACAAATCTGCGGTATTCCAGATATCATCTTCGAAACAGCAAACATCTTCAAATTCAATCAAAACATCTTCTCAAATACATCCTACACCTGCAGTAACGCGCTTAGACAGCGTATCTAGTACCATATCTCAACTACCTTCGACAAAGCTTCGCACATTCGTTCAATCGTCGTTGACTACAAGTGAGAAACAAAGATCTACAAACGTGATTGTGCCTTCAAGCAGGAGCATTACATCACCAACAGTCCAGACTGTTATAAACAACGCTAGCCTATCTTCTACAGTTTTTCATTCTCTCAGTGATATATCATCTGTGGTTATAAGCAGTTTGTTAACAACTGAACACTACTTGACTTCATCTTCGAACGTTTCCAATGTATGGAGTACAACAGCAATGACTACAGCTACTCAACTAAACAACTCGACTACAAGCCTTCTGCAGTCGTCCTATTCCAATTTCATAGACACCTTGAGCCTGTCATCGTCAAGAACGTACTCTCCTGTGTTACATGTCACCACTAGTGGAATTATCAACGAAACTAAATCAGCGAAAATCAATCAGACGTCGTTTGAAAGTTCCACTAGTCATACAAGATCTATACTATTCACGACAACATCTGCAACAAACATTGCAGTAACTACACAAATATCTTACACAATAGATCCTAGTTACACTCCTTTTATATCAAGTGGGAGTTCAGTTCCAACGCCTTCTTCGTTTCTGCCATGCACAAACAGTTGTTCAGTTTCAACGTTCAGTAACTTAAACTTTACACCCACAAGTCGAGAGCAACAATATACAACGACTTTATACCAAGCATCGATCAGTACAAGCGAAAGTATATTAAGCAGTTCCCGTATTACTGGAACATTGTTTTTGAATACCAGGAGCGTTACACCACAGACTAGTGGTGTGGATAACATATCCGAAAGTACAAGCCCAATATTAATATCAGGAATAATCTCTAAGTCACTCCAATCATCTGATTACGTTAATTCAAAGACTACCAAGACATTAACAACCAACAGTACATTGTATTCATCAAGATTGGGTTCTAAGGAAACAATGCTAGTGTCCTCGAATAGTGCAATGTCATCTCAACTTACATCTGGTAGCGCCATAGAGTCAAAGTTTACATCCATCTCGGCGATGAAACCTTCGTCTACAGGTTTGTATAATCATCTAGCGAAATCTTATTTAGCTTTCATAACATAAACCTTACAGGGGTTTAAATTATCAGACGAGCTGTATAGATATTGAAAGCAGTGTTTATATATTGCATGATGGCGAATACAAGTAATAACTAAAGGAATATTTACCACATACTGTACCTTCAGTTACCTAAATTGTAGCTGTTTCAACCCTCCTTGCGATACCGGTGTAGCTACCTGCCTGCAGGTTGCCAAAATTAACTGTTATAAAGATTGTCCCTTCTCCCAGGTAGTGTTCGTTATTGACTTGTTCCCCAAAACAGTCCCTGTATGTTAGTGATTGAAGCTCTGCACCGGAATACGCGGTAATTTTTCATATTACGCGATAATACTTTCTTCTAAACTTTTCTTTTTACAGGAAGGACATTTCACACCATGACATCTCAAACCAGTTCAGAATATAAATCCTCTTTGTCCCTTGTATCACCAACAGCCCACTTTTCTACAGCTATGGTATACACGCCGACTGAGCAGTTGAGAAGTACATACTCCTCTCTTATTGAAACAACACCTGCGTCGACATATATTTTATCGGTCCAAACTAAAACAAGTAAGTTACATTCAGGAAATTTTGCTTGATACCACAGTTCATCAGATGGAGTCACACTCCGTAGAATAGCCAAATTTATTATTTTCATAAGAAATCCCTTTTCCTTCCCTTCATCGTTTCGCCCACAAGTCGTTTCGCCCACATCTCAAAGTCGTTTCCCCCACAAATTAAAAGTTGTTTAAAATACAAAAATAAATTTAGAAAACCTATAGTATTAATTAGGGACTAAGTACCGGCCATATAAACAGCAGACGTTACTGCTATACAAAACATAAAAGATTTGCAAGAATGTGATCCATAAAGTAGTTGTTGCGATATAACACATTTTAGATGTGAAATGTGGAGGAAAAGAAAGATAAATTTTTGGTCGCTACCTGGAACATTTTCACTGAAAAAGACCAGATGATACGTTATATAAGAAAAGATGACATTCTGCCTCTGAGATTCTGCTAAGTTTGTAATGGTTTGAAAAAGATCGGTGATACATAAAAAAAAGGTGATACATAGAAAAAGAACGGTGATACATAGAAAAAGACCGATGTTAGCCTACATACAAAATACCGGTGATACATAGAAAAAGACCAGTGATACATTATAAAAGACCGGTGTTACGTTGCGAAACGACTTTGAGTTGTGGGCGAAACGACTTTGGTTTGTGGGCGAAACGCTTATAACCACTACACAGTAAATCTTTCATCACTACTTTTATCCTATTCTTTCACTCCGTCTCGCAATCTACCGTTGGTTTTACACGATTGCAATGTATTTCCTGTCATTAAAATCAATCGTTTCATCATGATCATTACAACCTCAATGCCGTCCATTTTATTATCCACATCAGCAAAATTTGTTCACAATTATTTTTAATCTCCATTTTTTTCTTTTCAGTTCGATCTGGTTCGCTCATCAGAAACATTGTGCCCAATCCCACCGTATCATCTCTCTTCACATCACAAATCGCTGGCGCAGTTTCCTCGTATATTACTCGCTCAGATGTTGGACACAGCTCAATGTTGTCCCCATCTACTTTGACTGGTACTATTGACCAGTCTGCTTTTAAAACTCAAACGTCAGTGTCCTTCAGCAGTCTTCGAAGTTCTCCATACAAATCATCAAGTTCAAACAAAATCTTTGAAAAGTCAACATTAACTGTTCATACCACAACTCCTTCACCAGTCTTCCTATCATCTTACCAAACACCTACCGCCTCATCTTTTGCTACCACTACCCCTTCATCATACTTTCTATCATCTTACACAACAGCTACTTTGACATCAATTATTCACACATTTGCTTCTTCATACAAGCGGACATCGCCATCATCTGCTTTTAACACCACTCCCTCTTTGCAGTCCCCATCATACAAAACAGGTACTTTATCATTATCTGTTGTTACCACCACACCCTTTTTGCACTCCCTATCATCATACAAAACAGGTACTTTATCACCATCTGTTGTTACCACCACTCGCTCTTTACACTCCCTATCATCATACGAAACAAGTACTTCACCATACTCCCTATCATCATACAAAACAGGTACTTCACTATCATCTGTTGTTACTAACACTCCCTCTTTACACTCCCTATCATCATACGAAACAAGTACTTCACTATCATCTGTTGTTACTAACACTCCCTCTTTACACTCCCTATCATCATACAAAACAGGTACTTCACTATCATCTTTTGTTACCAACACTCTCTCTTTACACTCCTTATCATCATACGAAACAAGTACTTCACTATCATCTGTTCTTACCACCCCTCTCTCTTTACACTCCCTATCATCATACAAAACAGGTACTTCACTATCATCTGTTGTTACTAACACTCCCTCTTTACACTCCCTATCATCATACAAAACAAGTACTTCACTATCACCTGTTGTTACTAACACTCCCTCTTTACACTCCCTATCATCATACAAAACAGGTACTTCACTATCATCTGTTTTTACCACCATTCCTTCATCATCATACCATACACTTACCTCTCCATTGTCTTTTCCTACCGTCAGTTTATCATCAGACTTTCTATCATCTTACCATAGCTCTATTTCATCATCAAGTGTTGTTACCACCACTGCTTTATCAGACGTCCTATCGTCTCACACAATAGCTACCTCTCAATCATCTGTTATTGCCACTATCCTTTCATCAGACCAACTACCATCTTCTCATACAACTAGCTCATTATCAACTGTTGCTACCATCACTCCTTCATCATACCTTCTATCATCTTACCAAACAGATAAATCAACATCAACTGTTGTTACAATTGCTTCTTCATCAATATACTTATCATACCATACGCGCAAATCACCATCATCTGCTGTTACGACCACCCCCTACTCCCTGTCATCATTCAAAACAGGCACTTCACCATCATCTATTGTTTATACTAAAACTCCATCATCAAACATTCTATCATTCTACCATAACTCTACTTCACCACCATCTATTTTGACCACTCCTCCACTATTAACTTCTGTTACCACCACTTCTTCATCGTACCATACGCTTTCGTCACCATCTCCTCCTGCTACCATCACGTCTTCATCAATCTTCCCGTCATTTTACCACACACCTACCTCACCCGCAAGTGCTGATACTGTCACTCCACTATCGGAGTTCAAATCATCATACCATACATCTACCATTACTCACTCTTTACACTCCCTAACAGCTCACACAACAGCTACTTTACCAACATCTGTTCTAACCATCATTTCTTCACCAGACTACTTATCATCTTACCATACCTCTACCTCACCCTCAAGTGCTACCATCACTTTTTCATCATACCTTTTTTCTTACCATACACTTGCCTCATCATTTGTTGCAACCATTACTTCATCATTCTTCCTATCATCTTACCATACATTCACTTCACCATTATCGCCTGTTACCGTCACTTCATCAGTTTTCCTATCTTCTTACCGTACACCAACTTCACCCTCAAGTGTCGCTACCATCACTCCATCAATCTATCTATCGTCTTCTTACAATGCAATCTTGTCTCCATTTTCTCCTTCCACAGAAAGCTTAAGGACTTCTCTAAGCAACCTACCATCATCGACAACAACACTTTCATCAGCATCATACAAGACATTTAGTTTGTCTTTTCTCTCCTCGTCAACAGTTTCCAGTCAACCTTCTATTTCCTCTGATCTTTCAACTGGGTCGTCTATGTCTTACACGTCAACAAAGTTGTCTTCACAGACGTCATGGCTTGTTCGACCATCTTACACATCAAGGGAAAGTCCTCAGACAACAACAGTCTTGACTCTTACCTCAATAAAGATGCCAGGTATTTACTTGTTATGGCTTTGTTATAAAATATTGTTGATGCAGCATGGGCTGCCCATAAACTCTATACTTACAGTCTTCAAAATTCGGGTGTAGGCCTATACAGTGTATTACTGTAAATATAAATATTTGCCATTAAAGCTATTGCATTACTGCATTTTAAAATGCTCACGTGACGTTTGAGTCGCGGAGCGTCGTCATGAACAGAAGGTATACGTTTACATCTGTGGGTTCATATTGCGATATTTTATTGAACCGATTTCAGGTTTTGATATTAGAATGTTTAATAACGAATATTTTCATGTTATCAGATAAAAGATAATATTTGCAATATAATATTAGCAAATATAATTCGGACAAACCGCAAGTGTAAACGTAGCTTTGGGTCCAATCTGGGTTATCTAGTTTATCGCTTATACCCGTGCATTGTATTATGGACGGTTAACTGTTGGTATAGTTGCATGGATATGCAGTGGTCACATTGTACACTTGCTTATAGACCTTCATAGTCCTTCGGTGTCCTCCAAACTTCCTCATTTGCTTACTGTAACTGATTCTTAGACTACCGTATTTCCTCTGTTCTGGACTGGGGGCTTATTAGATGGGGGGGGGGG